ATCTTAGCTCAGCCAGTTTTCCAATCTTCAACTTCTTACCCCTTTCACAAGCAGCATAAATAGGCCCAGCCTTTTCTTGAGCCAACTCCTTAGCTCTCTTGGCAGTTTCCCTTGCAGCTTCCTTTAAATCTGAAAAATTAATAAAAATAACTCAGATTTTTTTTTTCAACAAACGGGCCCATATTCCACAAGGAAAGGGTGACCTAAAAAAAACCCAAAGTTTTTCTTTTGAATTTAGTAGCTTATACAGAAGGGTTCTAGCCCCTTGTTCCCAGCATTTTAGTTGCCTTTACACACACATGGTTTACAGAGGAAGAATTCCTTTTCACTTCCCCCATGGAGATAAATATATATATACAGCCTCTCCTCACTTAATGACAGAGTTCTGTTCCCAAGACCTTGGAAATATAAACACACATGCAGTATAATGTGATCCTTTATTGACAATGTTGTCAATAAAGGATCACATTATACTGCAATATGTTTATATTTCCATTGTGTTGGTATTTTAACCATTATTTCCATCCCAAGACTTGTTGGTAAACGAATTCATCGCTAATGAGGAGCATATTATAAAGTAGGGGTTTGTGTCAACTATCTTTGATATTCTTTTAATGTTACCTTTGCACCATTTATAACATTTCTGGTATATTTTTAAATGTTTATATAGTAATGTACTGTATATTGTAATGAACAGAACAGAGGAAATGAAAGGCCCCAAAGGCATAAATGTAGACCTTAATGATGAAGGGGATCTAACTTAGAGAAAGTGGTAGGAGAAGCTGCAGAATAACTTGGACATCATAATCCAGCTTGGACAAGACTAGGGTGGAACGCAAGAAACTTTACCATATCACTTTACCATATCACCATATTTGGGACAAGAGGACGTCTAGGAAAGGTAATGAAATGGGTTTTTGTACTAAAAAATTTTAAAATACATGAGAAGAGGCCCAAGGGGAAACCCGGGTCAATCGATCCGAAGGGAGGCCACTACCAGGCGACAGTCAGCACCTGTGTAGGCTACAGTGAAGTCATCTACATAAAGTGATGACCAAATATATGATGGAAGAACAGAAGGTGGGGCTTTATAGTCATGAGAAAAAGGACAGTGCTAAGGACACAACCTTGTGGGACACCCTCGGCCTGAGCAAAGTCTGAGGAAAGTGAGGTGCCAACCCAGACATGAAAATGTCGGGTCAGATAAAAAGCAGTAAGGAAAGTTGGCAGATTACCACAGAGGCCTAAAGACTAGGCTTGGGGAAAGATGTAATACCTCCAAGTGGTGTCACATGCCTTCTCAAGATCAAAAAAGACTGCTAGGATGGAGTGTTTGTTAGCAAAGGCATTTCACACATATGTATCTAAGTGGAGCAAGGGGTCCAAAGTAGAGCGGCCCTTGTGAAAGCCATATTGATGAGGAGAAAGACTATTGCGAGTCACCAAGTACCATATCAGACGTCTATTCGCCAATCGCTCCATCACCTTGCAGACTACACTGGTCAGAGCAATGGGACGCTAGTGAGAGGTATCAAGCCCCGAGGTGCCTGGTTTGCGAAATGGTATGTACAATGGCAGATTTCCAGTTTTTGGGGGAGAACCCCTCGCATCCAAATAAGATTGAAAAGACACGAAAGGACTGTAAGGGCCGTAGAATGTAGATGTAACATACTGATATGAATACAATCAGGCCCAGCTGCTGATGACTAGCAGGAGGAAAGAAATGGCCCTCTAGCTTAGAGTGTGAAAGGTACGTTATAAAGCTCCATTCCATTAGAGGAGAAATCCAAGGGTAACTGCCCATGGTAGATTTTGACAAAAGACATGAGGGACAAAGGTGAAGCCCTTGGAAGACACGGACAAGATTTGGGTTTCCCAAATTCCATGGCAACTTCAGAGATTCCTCAACACTAACATCAGCAACCTGCAAAATGGGGGCAGATTCCAGAGTGTACTTGCCACACAAACTTCTGTACCTTCTTCCAAACCGCACACAAAGGGGAAGACGAGGTAATGGGAGACAGATAGTCTTGCCAACAAGTGCGTTTAGCGTCGTGTATAAAAGAGGGAGCACCTGCACTTGCCTGCTAAATCAAAAGACGCTCTGATGTCCCCAATTATATCAATAATGGCCCCACGCAGCACTTTCAAATACACTGCACGGGCACATGCAGGAGACCACCAAGGCACGCACATCTGAGAATGCCTGCCTGAGTTTGAGAATAGAATGTGATGCCGCATGAAAACTAAGGCAAAAACTGGTGCACTAGTCATTGATAGAGGAACAAAAAGGGTCAACCACAAAATGTGGCAGGATGGGAAAATATAAGTCCCAATTCGCTCGTTCAAATTGCCAACAAGGGCTACAGGGCAGTCCAGGAATATGTAGTAGAAGTAAGAAGAAAGGAAAGTGATCACTGTCATGTAAATCCAGGAGAAAAGACCCAAATGTAATCAATGCAATTGACGAGGAAGGAGAAAGAAAGATCAATGCAAGAGAGAGATTGAGTGCAACAGTCAAAATGGTAGGGAAAACCCATATTTAAAACATGAAGAGAATGAGAAGCGAGAAGAGTTCCCAACTCATCACCATGAGAGTCACAGTGGGACCCTTCACACAGATGATGTTGACTGTAAAAATCCCCAACAACAAGATAGGCGGTGGTAGAGAAGAGATCAAAAATGCAATATCAGAGATACAGAATGCACAGGAGGGGGAAAAATATAAAAGAGCAAACTGTATACCATCTGTGCAAATAAAACGGGCTTCAGTATAATGCACAGAGATCAAACAAAAACCTGCTGACGGTTTTACCAACATGCACAAGAAGGGAGCTCTCATTAAGCGATTCATCAGGAAAGGGATCAGAAGAATGCAACAGCACAGGGCATGATTTGGGGATCAAAAGATAAGTTTGGGTGGCTCTTACCAAAGTCTTACTGCTCTATGAAACTGAGCAGGATATACCCAAATAAGTTCTAAAACTCGTTCACTAGAATATACAAATTTTTGAAGTTTGAGGTTAATTGCACAGAAACTGGAGGAGGAAAACCAGGGGACAGTGTAAAAATTCAGGTACTCCATAAAGTATCCATCTCCCTTTCATGGATACCTAATGATGTAAGGAACTGTATATAAAATAAGCGAAGATTTAAAAAAATCTTTATTTTCTGTTTATAGCTTTAGGGAATGAGCAAAGTATGAAGAAGTCCTACGTATGAAAATCTGCTATATGTATGGTACTTTCCTAGGATACTGGAAATTTTAAGTGCTGAATTATCACTCACTAATTGCACAATGATAAAGCTTTGTAGTACAAGACTGACAAACCTTTGTTTCCTTTCTTCTAAAGTGAGATGATGTGTGTTTGAAGTTTCAGTAGGACTGTCAGCAACTGGAAACAGCCTGCTGAGAGCATAGGTAAATCCTAAATTGGTTTTCTGAATGTTCTTCTTGTAGCGCTCGATACCAAATTTCTGTCAAGAAAACTACTATTAAAAAACAGATGTAGTACTCTAAAAAAAAATTGTTGAAAAATTTTCACAGCTTAAAGCCTACAGCACGTTAATTACCCTGACTTTAGAGAATGAAAAGCCTTGTGTTACGGGCCACTGAGAAAACTAAACATATCCCACCGAGGCAGGGTGACCTAAAAAGAAAAACGAAAGTGTCTCCTTTTAAATTTAGTAATGTATACAGGAGAAGGGGTGCCTTGCTCCTGGCATTTTAGCTGCCTCTTATGACACACATGGCTTACAGAGGAAGAATTCTGTTATACTTTCCCATGGAGATAAGAGGAAATAAACAAGAACTAGTAAGAAAATAGAAGAAAATCCAGAGGGGTGTGGATATATATGCTAATACATGTATGCACAGTGTGACTTAAATGTAAGTAGTAGTAGTAGTAAGCCATAACTGAAATCTTGCATGTTTATAAAACAAAAAGGACACCAGCAATCTTACCATCATGTAAAACAATTACAAGGTTACGTTTCACACTCACTTGGCAGGACAGTAGTACCTCTCTGGGTGGTTGCTGTCTACAAACTTACAACCTTTTACAATGAAATTAATGACAATAATAAATGACATCCAACAGTGCTGAAAATAAGTTACTAAATTGGAGACATGTGAAAATGATTTGGGTTCAATTTAACAATGACTAATTTCCTGTCCAACCACATGCCTACAAGACATTAAATTCATTGAAATACAGTAATAAGTTTTTTCTTTACACATGAGAAACTACTAAAATTTATACTATACTCAGTGAACAAATAACAAGAGGTACACAATAAAAAATATCATGATGACTTCATACATCAATTTTGAATAAACTTTACATACTTCGGTTTCTGCCACACTCAAAGTTGATTTTTGCATAGTTTGTTAACATACCAGCTATCTACCACTGAAGAAGGGTGATCCAAAATAAGGAGGAAACATTCCCTGTTAATTCATTTAATTGCTGTATTGCCAAAGCATGTTGATATCACAGATTTAGATGGTCCTCAAAACTGCAACATTCAATGCAGGCACTGTACTTTCCACCTCCAGTACTCAAGTCTGGCTAATCAGTTTTCCTGATCTACTCATTCCAATCTAATGTAATAACACAAGTCTCAATATCTCCTTTACCCCCTCCCTTCAATTCCTCTCTACCCACATTTATTTATCCTCCTACTCATCCTATTTTGCACTATATTTTCTAAATGCCCAAACCAAAGCAATAACTCCTCTCAGCTCTCTTTTGGTAACCCCACACCACCACCTAATAAAATGCTCCAATTCTCTGCAAAATATTTCCCCACACATTGCTCTCAAACACTACATCTCACCTGCCTCCAACCTCCCCCTGGCTGCAATGCTTAAAACCCATGTTCCACATCCACATAACAGCGTTGGTACCATTATACTCTGTACATTCCATTTTTGTCTTCATAGATAATCTCTTTCTTCACGCCAGGTATACTCCAGATTCTTCAATGCTCCACCCACTTTGTTTTCCCTCATCTATTTTATGGTTCACCCAATCTTTTATAGACTCATCAAGTGACACATTCACTCCAAGATATTTAAACACACTAATTTCCTTCATAATAATACTGTACTATCTTGATCCTGAATGTTATCCAGTTTTTCACTGCCTAGGTTTTTAGTTGCTCTCATCACCATGTACTTTGCTGTACTATAGGGCCCCACTTATGTGGCAGGTTAGGTTCCAGGCTACTGCTGGAAAGCAGAATGCCATTTTTTCCACTTATAAATGCATATAAATGCCAAACAACAAGTTTACACTAACTTAAATTAAGTTAGTAATAGAACTAGGCATTAAAAAACACAATAAAAAGTAAAATACATACACAGTAAATTCATTACTTACCTTAAAATATTTGTAGTCTTAATGTAGGGCAAGAGGCGAGTAGTACTCATTTGTAGGAAGTCAGGTGTAGGTAGCCCTGGCTCCCCGGCCCAAACTTAATATATATTTAAAGCAGCCCAGAGCAATAAAATACACTTACAGTACACGCATTATTTGCCTTTAAACATGTGTAGTGTTAATGTAGGATGAGAGGCAAGTAGTATTTATTTGTAGGAAGTCAGGTGTACGTTGCCGGTAGATGTAGCTATGTAGTCTGTGCCTGGCTACGTAGCTGCACCTACCAACCTACATAGCAGATTCATACATGTTTTCTCTGGTTCTGGACCAGAGAAAACCAGATTCATACATGTTTTCTCTGGTTCTGGACTAGAGAAAACGTAATGTTTTCCCTCTGTCCGACTACCACTCCTCCATAGCATATACACATAGCATGTTTATATGCTATGTAACGTGTTTCTTATATAATTTTGAAGAAAATATCATAGATGGGTTAATGACAATGTCTATATTAATGTAAAATAAGACATTTAATGTGCCCAAGATTGATTATTATTACAAATTAGTATAATTACTATGGTGTTAAGACTAGAGGGACACTCTTAGTGATTTTAAACCCTTTGACTGTTGCAACCCCAAATTCTGTGGTGTATCCTGGTGTCGCAAAATATTTTGAAAAAAAAAAAAAAAAAAAAAAAAAAAAAAAAAAACTTATGATACTATAGAGAATCTTTTCCTGATGGTAATGACACCAAATGTACGAAATTTGATAGAAAACTTACGGAATTACGCTCTCGCGAAGTTAGCGACCTCGGCAATATTTATGATCCAGCGATTTCGGCAACTTTGAGCCCTATTTTCAGCTAATTCCATTGTTCCAGTGGCCCAAAACTCATAGCTTAATTTTTAAAATTTTCCATTTTTCTATCGCTGAGTACAAGAAACTGCCCATTACCAATTTCAACTACCAGTAAAGTGGTCAGAAATTGGCAAATTTTACCAATTTCACACAAATTAAAAATATGCCAATTTCAAAGATAGGGTCCAGAAGAACAATGCAGAATTCCTGGTCTAAAATAACATTTTCTTTGTTCATCAGTCACACCTCCAGGCCCCTCTGATATTACTCTTGCTTTCTATTTTGAATTTTTATTCAAACAAAAATAGAATATTTGGGTTATGCAGACTACTGCAATATGTAATAATTTTATAAATAATGTCAACCCCTTTATGACTGCATTTATTAGAATGACTAGTTGGACATTTATTGGACAATGACGTCATTTGTTTATTCTTGAACATCGGCAAAAATCAAAACATTTCCCTAACTTTGAGCTCCATTTCAAGGTCTTTTCATAGTTTAAAAAAAAATCAAAATCACATCCATTTCTATAATATTTTCCATTCCATATCAAATGAGACTACAAAACCATAACCATAAAAACTATACGAAAATACACCTCAAAGTCGGCGTTTTAATCCAAAAACCGGTCGGAGTTTTTTTTTCTCATTATGCACTACTTGCTGCAGGATTTTTTTATACTGTGCACACTGACCACATGACCCATTCTCTCACATGTGGGGCCTACGCTTTCTCCCCCTTGATTTGAAGCCGCTAGAATTTTTGAGCATACACATACGTCAAACACACTGGCTCGTTAGACGTATATATTTCGACTGAAACAGTCAAAGGGTTAATGTGTACCTGCACGCCAGCATATTGTGTAAGTATTTTAGGTACAGGTACATATAAGTATAATTATCAGTGGTACATATAAAATATGCAATACTTTAAAACACTCGAAATTTTGGAAAGTTTCCAGACTAATAAAGATGTGCTCACATGGAGAATGTAAACAAATCAGGTGGGGCGCACCGTATTAGAAAGACGGGGAGCCGTATAGTTTTGGTCATAATTTGAAACTGCCGTATTAGCGGACAACCTTAAGGCAAAACGCCGTAAAGTGGGGCCCTACTGCATTCACTGTAAATATCCTTCTTTTACGAATCCTCCTTGAATCTCCCAAAAGAACTGTGTCATAAGTGAAGAGCAACAGTGACACTTCCCACTTTGTATAACTCTATCTTTTAATCCCCCACTTCTCCCCAGCACCATAGCATTTACTTCTTTTACAACCCCATCTATAAATATGCTAAATCATGGTGACAACACATATCTCTGTCCAAGGTCTAATTTTACTGGAAAATAGTCCTCCCTTTCCTGCCTACCCTAACCTGAGCCTCACTATCTGCACAAAAAACTTTACTGCTTTTAGTAACCTACTCCCTATTCCATTCATTTGCCAAACTGTTCCTACATCTTGACCCTCAATCTTAAGTCATAAATACAAATACATGAGGAGTGTTCACACCTCTACCTTCATAAATCCTCCTTGTTCCTCTGCAATCCTACTTTCTTACCCTTCATTCTTTCGATAATAACTACAATACACTTTACCTAGTGCACTCAAAAAGCTTATTCTCTATAATTCTTACACTCCCTCTTGTCCTTTTTCCATATGCAAAAGAACTGTGGATGTTCTCTGTCAATCCTTAGATACCTGTCCTTCCCTAATATTGCAACAAAGAATTTGTGCTAACTTGTCTGACAAAATTATGCTTGATGAAAAAGCCAAGTTAGCAAGTTTTGTTTAAAAAGCACAACATAAAAAGCAAGCATGAAGACAAATTCTTAGACCTATATTGACAAATGAAATAAATATTTTAAACTCACATCAAACACATTTAAAAAAAATAGTTGTACTTTCAAAGACTACATTGTCGCAAGGTCCTAGATTGCCATAGAAGACAAAAAGAATGCAGATGTAATATTACAGACTTTGCAAAAGCCTTCGAAAAGTGTGACCATGGCGTAATAGCGCACAAATGCGTGTTAAAGGAATAACAGGGAAAAGTTGGTAGATGGATCTATAATTCCTCACAAACAGAACACAAAGAGTAGTAGTCAACAGAGTAAAGTCTGAGGCGGCTACGGTTGAAGAGCTCTGTTCCGCAAGGCACAGTACTCGCCCCCATCTTTTTTCTCAACCTCATATCTGACATAGACAAGGATGTCAGCCACAGTACCGTGTTTCCCTTTGCAGATGACACCCGAATCTGCATGACAGTGTTTTCCCCATTGCAGACACTGAAAGGGCTCTAGGTGAACATCAACCAAACTTTCAGGGGGCTGCAAAAAAAACAAATTGAAGTTCAACGAGAGAAATTTCAATTACTCCGATATGGAAAAACATGAGGGAAATTAAAACTCCATCAGAGTACAAAACAAATTCCAGCCACAAAATAGAGCGAAAACCAACGTAAAAAGACTTGGGAGTGATCAGTCGGAGGATCTCACCTTCAAGGACCATAACATTGTATCAATCGCATCTGCTAGAAAAATGACAGGATGGAAAATGAGACCTTCAAAACAAGGGATCCCAAGCCCATGATGACACTCTTCAAGTCGCTTGTTTTATCTAGGCTGGAATATTGCTGACACAACAGCACCTTTCAAAGCAGGTGAAAATTGCGACCTAGAAAATGTACAGAGAACCCTTCCACGGCGCGCATAACAGAGATAAAACACCTCAATTACTGGGAGCGCTTGAAGTTCCTGAACCTGTACTCCCTGGAATGCAGGCGGGAGAGATACGTGATTATAACACATGGAAAATGCTAGAGGGACTAGTACCAAACTTGCACATGAAAATCATTCACTATGAAAGCAAAAGACTCGGCAGACAATGCAACATCCCCCCAATAAAAAGCAGGGGTGTCACTAGCATGTTGAGACAACACAATAAGTGTCAGGGGCCCGAGGATGTTCAACTGCCTCCAGCATACATAAGGGGGATTACCAATAGATCCCTGGCTGTCTTCAAGCAGACACTGGAGAAGCACCTTAAGTTAGTCCTGACCAGCCGGGCTGTGGCTCATACGTTGGATTGCGTGCAGCCAGCAGTAAACAGCCTGGTTGATCAGCTCTGATCCACCAGGAGGCCTGGTCACAGACCCGGGGCGCGGGGGCGTTGACCCCCAGAATTCTCTCCAGATATCTCTCCAGATTTTTTTTTTTTTTCAACAAGTCGGCCATCTCCCCAGTGGCAGGGTGACCCAAAAAGAAAGAAAATCCCCAAAAAGAAAGAAAATCCCCAAAAAGAAAGAAAATCCCCAAAAAGAAAATACTTTCATCATCATTCAACACTTTCACCTCACTCACACATAATAAATTTTAATGCAGTTAAACTTCAGAAAAACTTTTCCTGGATTGCATACCCAAATCCAAATATTTTTGAGTCAATCCATGCCCTCCTTTCTGCTTTCTGTCCATTGTGGTTTTCTGGGCTTGGTTTGTAAATCACCTTTTCAAAAACAATCATAACCTGGAAAAAAAAAATTAAATGCCAAGATTCAAGTTTTCACGACTAACAAAAAAAAAATTTCAAAACTTCCCCCATATACATGCTGACTATTGGGTACTACAAAGGAAAGCAAAACAAAAAAAATACTGCAAAACATGTATATACAACAAATCCTATGATATTACAATTGTTTCAAGGAGTAACACCCATGAAACATGGAAATATTTACATCATTTGATTATAAATTTTTTTTTGGGTTTCCCTGGGTTAAATTACTTAGTGTGCTTTGTGGTTGAATTCCACTGTTTATACCATGAAATTGTAATAAAATTTTGGGAAAGAATAAGTCATTACTGTGCTACTTCCACCCCCATGGGTTACGAGGAGCTGTCAAAATATCGACTTGGATGACAGCAATAAACTTACACTTAACACTGGCAAAACCTACTATATTATGTTTGGTACAGAGGCAGGTGTTGCGCACTTAACATTAAGATTGACAACACTCTAATTGCCAGACATAATGAGGGCAAATTTTCCTTGGCCTATACCTTGACAACAACCTAAATTTCAGCACCCATATCCAACACATAACAAAAAAAATATCCAAAACGGTGGGGATCCTCTCCAAGATATGATACCACGTGCCGCAAACTGCCCTTCTCACACTATACCATTCACTATATATCCATACCTCACCTATGCTATCTGTGCTTGGAGTTCAACTGCAGCAACACACCCAAAGCCAATAAAAACCAACAAAAGCCACAGTAAGAAAAATCACTAAATCCCATTTCCCCGGCAACACACCCCCCCACTCTTCTAGATCTAAACTTACTCCCTGTTCAGAACATCCACACTTACTACTGTGCAATCTATTCTACAGGACCTTAAATTTTCCCAAAATTAACCTTGACCTAAAATGCTTTCTTGACAGTTGTGAAGGATCCACAGGCATAACACCAGACACAAAACATCTCTATGACATTTCCCGTGTTCGCTAAACCTTTACAAAAATTCAATGTATTTCAAAGGGTCTAAAATCTGGAACACCCTACCGAAAACTCTAGAACTGCAGACACATTCATCACTTTCAAAACTACAGTTAGAAAACATCTTATCTCCCTGATACACCCCGACAACTAACTACATGATAACCCCCTGGTGGTTCACAATTACATCACTCACCCACTGTATAAACCAGAAATACTAATCTTAATCTTAAAATAATAAATCCTAACTAGTCATAAGTTTGCCTATGATACTCCAATATAGACACTTCGTATTGTGCCAAAACAAAAGCATTCACATTGCTAAACTCACAAATTATGATGTAGTCACTTAGCCTTAATACCATAATCTGTAAGGATTGTTAAGAATTAATCTAAGTCTGCCCGAAATGCCTAGCCATGCTAGGTGTCCTAGTGGCCCCCTCTGTAATTAGTATTTTATAACATGTAAACCACACAATACCCAAAACCTGTAAACCCCACATTGTAACCTTTATAGAGAATAAACTTGAATTGAATTGAATTGAATTTGCTGGTAGGGATGCTGGTGGTGGAACAACAGCTCCTGATTTCATTGTTTACTTATTCCAGTTGGAGCATACTAGTACATTGAGAGAGTGTCATCACCTGAGTAATTGACCATGACACACTGTGGCCTCTCCTAGTCTTAGATTCTTTCAAAGGTATGAAGAGATAGAAGACCCAAAGAATTGTGCTGAGGTAAAAATATTGGCAAGTGACAGATGAAGACATGAAAAAATGAGTACCAGTATGATGAACACACAGTTGTCATTTGCATATTAGAATGTTTGGTAAAGTTTAACCCTTTGACTGTTTCAGGCCCCTCTCTGAAACTGTCATTCTATGTCGCCAAATATTCGAAAAAAAAAAAATTATTTTTTCTTATGAAAATGTTAGGAATATTTTTACTAGTGTTTTAAGCCTAAAAAAATTTTTTTGCCATCAGTACTTACCGAGATATAGAGCCGCAAAGTTTGCAGAAAATTGACGTGCGTACGGCAACAGCGGCAACTGCCGCCCACCCAGTATTCTTTTATTTACTCTAATTCAAAGGTTTTTGCATTTTTCAATATTTTTCTTTTCCAGGTAACTTATGTGGCCTGTGAGACCAATGTAAGGTGCATTGTTCAAATATACACTCATTATTTACAACACAATAACAGAACAAACTTATCACTATTAGTTTGTGTATACACTTTGTTTACACAAACAAACAATACAAAACAATGTTTATTACTATTGTTCCATAATATATATACATATGTACAGTCACTAACCACGTTCCTAGAACTGCTGCAGCTTGTGGAACTCTTTGAAACATGGGTATATGCAGAGGGGCACTCACACTCCTCACACATAAAACGAGTGTCTCTGCGTGTTTGTGGGCGTTTTGTGGTATGCATACATACATAACACCTCTTCTGAGCATTTTTCTTGGCAGTAGTAGGAGGCAGTTGTATGGGGTAGTGATCACCAGGCCTCATACGAGATGACGTCTGTGGGCGCTGGTCTATTGCAGGAGTTGCTCCTTGGTACTTTGCAATTATTTGTCTGATTACTGACAGGCTAAATTCACCATATTTTGGTGTTTTGTTGGTCTTCAACTTGTATATGTTATAAGCATTTACCATAGAGATATCAACAAGATGGAAAAAAAGTTTGATATACCACTTATAACTCTTGCGTACACAGTCTGCAAACCCAATCTGCATGTCACATTTGTCCACTAAGCGCATATTGAGGTTGTAGTCCATGACAGCTGCAGGCTTTAGAATGGGTTCATTGGTCTCTGTTGTCCCTGCCACTGGGTACCATTTCGTTTCTGTGAACTGATGTCAACAATGTGACATCACGTTTGTCATGCCACCGAAATGCCATGATGTCATTGGCAGCAAAGGCTTGCACCTCACCTCTGCGAGTGCCAGCGTCGAACCTTGGCATATGTTTGCGATTACCACGCACTGTGCCACACACATCTGTCAAGTTCACTCGCAAGAAATCACTGAGTAAGGGGCTTGCGTACCAGTTATCAGTAAATAACATATGCCCCTTACCAAGATATGGTTCCATCATTGTTCGAACCACATCACCAGAGATACCCAATAACTTCATGGTATCTCTCAAAGTATTACTGCCAGTGTACACAATAATATCTAAAACAAGACCACTTCTGCAATCACACAGTACAAATAGCTTTATACCAAAGCGTTTCCTCTTGCTTGGTACATATTGCTTGAATGAGAGTCTTCCTTTGAATAAAATCAAGGACTCATCAATAACAAGCTTCCTGAAGGGATAAAAATACATGCAGCACTTTTGTTTCAGGTACATAAACACATTTCTTATCTTATATAACCTGTTGCTTCTGTCAGGCCTGGTTTTGTCTGAAAAGTGTAACATACGTAACAGTATCAGGAAACGATTGACACCTATATGTCACTAAAACCTGGAGTTGAAATCAGGCGATCTGTTGTCCAGTATGTGGTGACAGTGTGCTTATACACATGTGGCATAAGCATTATTGTGGCAAAAAACAGGTACATCTCTGCCACAGTTGTCTCCTTCCACTTGTGTAGCCGTGATTTTGGTGAGAGAGAGATTGCATTTGCCATGGTGTAATCCGAGTATGTAGTGTTGTTTCCCTGACAATGATGTCCATCAGGGGTTCATCGAAGAATAACTCAAAGCAGTCCAGTTCACTGGCATTGTTCCCAAGTGGACAAGATGGCTTTATTCCACTTTGTGTTTCATCAAAGTCATGGGGACTGGGAACAAACTCGTCACCATCCTGCCAATCCCAGATGCGGTCTGCTGGTGGGGTCTGGATATTGTACCGTGGTTGTGGTTGTGCAGGTTGTGGGAGTGTGGGGTAGGGTGAGGCTGGTTGTTCTGCTGAGTCAGCCGCGTGGGTAGTAGCGTGGCCTGGTGATGGTGCCACATGGGCCGTGCCACCCTCACTATCACCACCACTACCTCCTCCCTCACTGTCACCATTCATACCCATCGTTACAATATCGTCATCTTCACTATCAGGTCGTGGTGTAGGGCCACGGGATGTGCTCCCAGAGTTTCTCCTTCCCCTTGGAACAACATATGAAACACTACCAGACCGCATGCTACGTCGTACATACTGGCGCTTCACTGGGGAATATTCACTCTCACTGTCACTAGAACTGCTTTCAATGACCTTGAAATCACTATCACTGCTATCATCTGGGTGTTGTACACGACCAAATAGTTTCCTCTTTCGTCCTGGTACAGGCGAAAGTGAACGTGAACAAGCCGGCACAGCACCAGAGGTCGAAGGTTGTGGGTTATCTGGGTTTTTGTCACTATTTACGTTATCCTGGGCACTTTTTTCGGTAACACTCGCTTCAAAACCCTGGAATTCACTGTCACTGACATTTTCATCGCTGTTAGAGCTATCACTTGGGAATAAAAGACCTCCAATCCGCCGAGGAGTGAGGAACTTCTTACCGAGAGCCATGGTGAAAATGGACTGACAACATGGCGTTCCCACAATGCACTGCTGGGTCCCAGATTTTTTTCACAGGGTGCACACCGACCACTGAGACCCATTCTCTCCCGTGTAGGCCTACCAGGCCTTTGGCGCTTGATTTGAAGCCGCTAGAATTTGTGCATATAAATACGTCAGAAACATTGGCTCGTAAGACGTATTTATACGTCAGAAACAGTCAAAGGGTTAATTAAGGCTTAATCCGAAGAAGGGAAGGGTAGCCCCAATTCTTGGATCATGAACCCCTCACCAGCATCAAGACGCTCTCTCATAAAGGACTGCATGGAAATATATGGTAGAGGCTTATGCAAAGCAACTCACCTTGCACCTCAGCTTAACCTAGCTGAATGCTATTTCAGCTTTGCCTGTAATCATGGTGAGAAGCTAGCAACCTTACAGTAATGTACAAGGCCAATACTCTAAAGCATCCCCAACTGGAACAGCTAATAGGACAGCAAGTATACAAGACAGGTAGCCCTTAGCAGTTTCACATTGACAGTAAACTTCTCAAGGGCATCATTTTCAGCAATCGTCCAATCCTTGACTAATACTTTGGTACTGGTTCTCACAATATACATATACGTATTTTAGAAATTGACCAAATAAAAGGTGTGGCCCACAACTGGCTCCTACTTCTTCATTCCTTACTTGTATGTTGCTTAACATTAAACAAAGTACAGTATGTACTCACAAATGCTCTTCATAATATAAATATTGATAATGCCAGATACTGAATTGAACAGAGACAAGATAACAGATGTATACTCATAAACCAAATGCAGGAACTCCCAGCCAAACCCTAGTAGAATCCTTAATTATTAAAAAAGGAATGGAGAAAAGTGGTGAAAAAAAAAGCTGCAAAGACAAATGACAGGGAAGAGAGCCTACAGCACGAATGACTGCAAATAGAGAAAGAGCAGGAATGATTGCAGAGGAAGAGCAGGAATGAGTGGGAATTATGGAAAGTGAGATGAGAAAATAGAATGGAGGGAATGTGAAAAAAGCAGAGGAGAGTGAGAGAAAGGAAAGAGGAATGAAAAATAAGGAGTGACAAAGATCCAAAGAAGTATACTACAAAGGAAACGTGCAAAGTGTATCACACTCCTGATTTCTCTGATACATGCATGCAAAATTTACGCATCTCTTTTTGATAAACCCTGACTGCCCTACCATACAAGAAATACACTGCTGCTATCTCACTCACTCAGCAGCCTAGACTCAGACAACAGGTCCTAGTCCTCTCTCCCTCACGGGCATGACCCTCACGGGCCATGGGCACTTAACACACTGCCTGTGTACCCCATGATATTGCAAATAAAATAAAAAGCCTTCGAAGCCCTTTATCATTACCCCCCACTACCAAGAATGACCCAATAAACCTCGTAAACAACTCACCTTGGTTAACCCAACATTCCTTGTGTATGTACACATTTCTCTTATTGGATCCACAATAGATTCTTCAATGATACTGACATTCCGGGCATTGATCAGTCGTTCACCCCATTTTGGCATACGATTTGTTTTAGTTAATATCCTTTTGGAGTGCAGCTGATGTCCAATGACTTTCCTGACTATGGTGTCCTCAGACAGAACATGAGAGCTGTGGACATATAAACTTGTGAGAAGAAATAACCATAAAAATCTGTGACCATAAACATAGAAAAATGCATGGAAAAAATTAACAGAAAAATATTCTGGCCCTTTCAAGTATTTTTTTAACACACTGGCCATCTCCCACTGAAGAAGAGTGACTCAAAAAAGAAGAAACACTTTTACCTTCCCTGTCTTGCCAGTTCAAAACTGCCAATATCCCCACCCCTCCTTCAGAGTGCAGGCGCTGTAATTTCCACCTGCAGGACTCAAGTTGGGCTGGCCAGTTTTCCTGAATCCCTTCATAAATGTTCCCCAGATCACGCTCCAACAGTATGTCAAAGTTATTAAAATCACTTGTCTCCACTCACTCCTATCTAATACACTTACTGGATGCCTAAGCCCCACACACAAAACCTCCTTTACCCCCTCAAGTCATCTTATTCTGCTCCAAAATAGGAACAGAGGTGCTTGATCTACTCTCAGTAAGAAGTTATTTGTCTCCCATGGGTTCGAGGACCCCAATAAAAATAACTTAAGTCACACTGTTGGGTTATTTTAGGCTATATCTACCTAAGTTACCACACTGTATACCTATAACAAATATGTGTTACTGAAAACATTGTATAAATTTATAAAACAGTCTGTAAAGGTACATATACATTACCTGAATAAGCCTGTTTTAAGCTACAAACTGTTTTTGCTGTGTTAATCCCAATTTTGTTAAATTATGAGAACTATCACCTAGGCTGATAAATTTTGATAAAAATTTTCTATTAAGGAATCTTTACCTTTCAGGGTTTGGGTAACGCTGCCAGATACCCTGAGCCACTTGCTCCCATGAAAATTTGAGGATATTGCTGCCTTCATAGAACTTCATTGCTGCAATTTTGTTATAGTATGCTGAAATTAAAAAAAAAAATATCAATATTAAAAAAATTTTTTTCACTTTTGCATGAATGACACTGTTGTTATTAAGTGCCCAAACTTATACTGACTCAAATAGCCAAACAAGATGCAGTTATTTAGTCAATTTGCTTATTTTTTATAACATATATTTTTTTAGGGTTTATGAAACCTAAAAGACTATTTGGATTATTACCCTTGAAGAGTTAGTAATTTCCCCGATAACCCAATAAAGCCATTTAATGTAGCTTATTTCTGCTAGGGTATTTTTTCATCTTCCCAAAGGATGATACCTGGAACAATCAACTCCCAGGTATTTATTTACTGCTATGTAATAGAGGCAGCAAGTATTAGGGTACTTGCCCATGTGTGTCTGCCTCAGTGTGGGGTTCAGCCCCCACATCCTCTACAGTGTGAGCTGAGTGCATGAGTACATGGCAGTCAGGTAGTGACAGGAAATGGAAGCAAGTCACTTTTTTTCCGTTTTTTTTTTTTTTGGGGGGGGGGGGAATATCCTGGGTAATTTACACTATGTATGATAATTGTACTTACGTGTACCTGTGCCTAAATAAAAATTACTATAGGTTAGGCTAGGGTGTCTAGTAGCTTAGTGGTTACACTAAGCTACTAGACACCCTAACCTAACCTATAGTAAGTTTATTTAGGCACAGGTACACGTAAAATACAATTATCATACACAGTGTAAATTACCCCAGGATATCCCCCCAAAAAAAGTCAAAAAAAAAAAGTGACTTCCATTTCCTGTCACTACCTGACTGCCATGTACATAGCCTTCAACAAACTGTTACCCGGCTTCTAGGCAACTATACATTTTCTTTTATATATAAGTTTTTATTTAGGATTTGGGCACGTTAACTACCAATTTTTTTTTATAACTGTTTTGAGGAGGTACATGTTACGATCACATTATGCAAATTAACTATACTAAACGCTAAAAAAAAGAATAAAAATGCGATTTATTGGTAATAAAATTAACTCTATTTAAACAAAAATAACCTTATAACCAAGTTAGTATTAGTATTTTACAGACAAAAGAATACGCAAGCATTCACTGATAAGTTATCGGCCAAGAAGATGCATCACAATACGGGCTCTTAGCAACCCACTACTAAACAAAACATAAAATATTTTCAAATATTAAAGAAACCCTACCCTGTTTATGTTTATCTTGTTAAGTCAGCGAAGTACAATCTTTAAAAATATTTTGTGAAAATTTATGGTGAGGAGTCAGAATGCGTTGTTTACATGGCCAATAAAGTGAGGGTGTCGCCGGCCAACACCATAACACGGGAGACTGGGACTTATCCATACCTTCAACTTTTATATAATAGATGGCGCTCCCTCTGACGATAATAGCCTCTATCTGATAGTGAATCCGAACATGATTTACTCTGAGATATATATTTCTTTCGACGTAAATATTCCGAGAGTTTACCATACTTTTTATTGAAGGTCTTAAAGTTTTTCTTGCTTGGTGGCGAAAAGGTTACGGTGGAACCTTACAGTTTTTGGGGGGGTTATCTAGCAAATTTTACATATACGTAATAATAATAATAATAATATAAATAATAATAATAATAAAAATAATAATAAAATAATAAAAATAATAATAATAATAATAATAATAATAATAATTATGGAACATTTTATAGGGGGTGATTACCTGTACGTCCCTCAACATTACATACGTACGAGTAATCTCTTTTGGGAGACAACAACCATATTGTTTACCGCCCGTCCCCCGTGTAGACATGTAGAAAAACTTAACCACCTCTGGTCACTGCAGGGGGCCCCCCTCGACCCTCACAATCTTATCCATATCTATCCGAGGACCAGTATAAATTGGATAGCACCCTCAAGTTCGGCGCTACTAATTAATTGTGGACTGTATAGTTGTATTAGTGTAACTGAATGAAGGGGAAGGGGGGGTTACCATGGATATATCCATCAAGGAAAAACACTTGTACATAAATCCCCCCACTTACCGATATTCTCTGGTGGTCACTTGATGTTTATCTAGGCTGGAATATTGCTGCACACTAAACAGCACCTTTCAAGGCAGGTGAATTGCCGACCCAGAAAAAAGTACAGAGAAATTTCACGGCGCGCAGTTAGTTAGTTTAATATGTTTATTATGCACCCCATACCCATCCTGTGGGCGGTAGTCAAAAGATTACAGAGGTACATAATTGGTCCAGGGACTGGACTCCAAAGTTTTGATAGCTGAGCAAGTTACAGAGGTAATGAACTCACAATTTACAAAGGTAATGAACTCACAATTTACAAAGGTAATGAACTCACAATTTACAAAGGTAATGAAACTCCAGGTAAGTCTGGTCACAATCATGACAAGTTACAAAGGTATTTACAGATTACAGAGGTACGTAATGGGTCCAGGGACTGGGCCCCCAAAGTTTTGATAGCTGAACTAGGTACAAAGGTAATGAGCTCACAAGTTACAAAGGTAATGAATTCTGTAGAATGGTTACTACGTTTATACTTTGGCTACAATCATGAACAAATTATAGAGTAATGAGCAATTCACACTTCCACACCCGGTCACAATTGTAATGAGTTATTGGTGCAAATATTGATTGTTGAGTCACACACATCACACACACACACACACACACACACACACACACACACACACACATACACACACACACACACACACACACACACACACACACACACACACACACACACACACACACACACACACTTTAGTTTAATATCTTTATGCACCCCATACCCATCCTGTGGGCGGTAGTCAAAAGATTACAAAGGTACATAATGGGTCCAGTGACTGGACCCCAAAGTTATGATAGCTGAACTAGTTACAAAGGTAATGAACTCCAGGTAGATCTGGTCACTAATCATGGCAAGTTACAGAGGTAATGAATCAGCTTCACTCCTATACGGAGATAAAACACCTCAATTACTGGGAGCGCTTGAGGTTCCTAAACCTGTATTCCCTGGAACGCAGGAGGGAGAGATACATGATTATATACACCTGGAAAATCCTAGAGGGACTAGTACCGAACTTGCACACGAAAATCACTCACTACGAAAGCAAAAGACTTGGCAGACGATGCACCATCCCCCCAATGAAAAGCAGGGGTGTCACTAGCACATTAAGAGACCATACAATAAGTGTCAGGGGCCCGAGACTGTTCAACTGCCTCCCAGCACACATAAGGGGGATTACCAACAGACCCAGAACCTGCAGAACCTGGAGAAATTGACAACACACCTCCCAACAATTCTCAACCAAAGGTGAATTTGTGCAAATATTATGCTTGGGGCATCTGTAAGCATGGAATAACAGGGGAAAAAAATGAGACATGCAACTTTGACCATCCCCAAAAATGTAGCGACCTCCTGTCTAAAGGAGTGTGTCGTTCTTCTTCCTGTACTTTCTTTCACCCAAAAATGTGCCACTCCTCGGTCCTCCAGAAGCAGTGTTACAACATCGAGTGCCCTGCATACCATCTAAAAGGGACCAGGAGGCACAGACCTCACAAGACAAACAATAGTAGCTACGACAACCCAACTCCAGGTGATTTTTTAGTGGCAGGAAACGAAAAAAGAAAATGGAAGGGAAAATAACAAAAATAGTCCACCACCTTTGGAGCCTTGTTGGACTGTAGGCGCAGCCAGTGGCCACCCATGGCCCTCCAGAATTACAACTACTGATGCCAATAACAAAATTTCCCCCAACAACACAGAATACAACCTCGTTCATATTTGCTAATATACAGAGCCTTAAGCCATCCACCAACAACAAAATACCTTTATCAGTGGACTTTAGTGGAGTCTAATGCAATGTTTGCAGCCTTCACAGAGACTCACACAAAAGATCACTTTGACAGTGAAATATGGATAAGTGGTTACAACCTTTTTAGATGCGACAGAAAAAACAGGAAACAAGGGGGGGTTGGCCTGTATGTCAAAGAGTCCTTATCTGCACGGAGTTGCTGAAACCACAATTGAGGGTAGTTGAAGTTCTATCAATAAAGATCGAAACCAAAACCTAGTCATTGTGGTTGTATACAAGCCACCAGATGCAACCTCCCAACAGTTCAAGGAACAGCTACTAAAAATCGATTACTGTTTGGAAAACCTTCCAGCTCCATCCCAAACTTTCTTACTGCTTGGTGATTTCAACCAAGGCATACAAACGGGGAAGAATGTACCCAAATAATATTATAGCTGAAACAAATCCCCGGAGGTAGCGCAGATGAAAGGTCACACACACATGAGCTACTAAGTCTCTGCGAAAAACACACCTTAAGCCAGCAGATAGTGGAAGCCAACAAGACTAGAAAACACACACTTGACCTTATCTTCACAAATAATGAGGCCCTGATAAGAGACATAAAAAATATCAAAAACAACTAATTCCGATCACAATCTAATCGAAGTCCAGACGTACATGCATGGGGTCCTGAACAGCAGAATGCATGTACCTGTGAAGGTGTCTTCACAAAATACAATTTCAACAACAAGAAAAATCAACTGGGACCAGGTAAACCATGTCCTAAACGAAACAGTTGGGAAGTTTTCTTAAATGACATGGATCCAAACCAGTGCCTTGAAGGATCAACTTCCTGGTAGCCGAAACATGTTCTAGGCATTATTCCCCTAAGAAAGAAGAAGAGCAGGAGTAAACGGGAGAAAAAAGGGACGCTCCCTCTACAGAAGACGCGAAGAGTCACTGGGGCCCCTCAGGAGTGCTAGAATATCTGATACACGAAAGGAGGCGCTGACCAGGGAAGTGGAAACTATCGAACTTAAGCTAAATGACTCTTACAGGAACCAGGAGAGGCAGGAGGAGCTTAAAGCTATTAGTGAAATTGAAAGAAATTCAAAAATTTCTTTTCATATGCCAAAAACAAGGCAAATACCACATCTAGTATCGGGCCCTTACTCAGACAGGATGGGACTTACACAAACGATTTTTAGATTAGA